CGGTAATGATTACCGACTCTGAGTATAGTGTTACAACTGACTATTTGAGCGTTCATATAAGCTGGAACACCCTTTCCTTGAGTTCCAGTGTCACAATGGGAGTGTTTCGTGTTTAGCCTATTCGTTCCCAATGGCTCAGTACGGTCGCTCTGAGTACTGGAATGAGCGCTACACTCGTGACCCCGAGCCGTTCGACTGGTACCAGCGTTGGGCAGGCCTCAAAGATGTGAGAGAAATCTTCGTTGTAGTGATATGACGTGACTGTTGAATTTCCAGGTCGTTCAAGAGTATACGAAGCCTGGTGATAAGATCCTCAACGTTGGTGCTGGTAGCTCGAAGCTGAGTGAGGAGATGTACGAAGAAGGATATCAGAATATAGTGAATGTGGACATTTCTGGTATATCTTATGAAGTTAATCTTCTTCACTAGGGTGCTTAATTGTTCTCAGATGTCGTTATAAAGCAGATGGAAGAGCGATATCAGGATAAGCCTGGTATGGTTTACCAGCAGGCCGACTGCAGGTAAAACACCGCGTGTGGGTGTCGAACCTTCGATCTGCTGCGCAGGGCACTTGAGTTTCCTGATGGCATGTTTGATGTCGTCATCGATAAGGGAACACTTGATTCCTTGCTGTGTGGTGAAGGATCCAGCCAGAATGCACAGAAGATGCTGAGCGAGGTCAGCTGGAAGTGATTGCTGAGTCGACGATTATCAGCATCCTGTGTAGATTTCTCGGGTTCTGAATCCATCTAAAGGTGTCTACATATGCATATCTCATGGTCAGCAGAGCTACCGTCTCAGCTACTTGCAGAAACCGGACTTTCAGTGGTCTGTCAAGGTATCGCTTTTCTCCTCGTTCCGGTTGGATGGGAATGGTTCACTTTAGGTTCACACTGTTGCCAAGCCCATGATGGGTATGACTTCGGCTATCGGTGGTGACGAGAAGGATAATGTTCACTATATATATGTTTGCGTTAAGGTAGCACACGAACATTTGTGCAGTCGTTACTGAGGACCTCTCTATCCCCATTTTCGCCTGGGAATTGCCATAGCTATGATTGGCCGTTGATCGTGGTCTCGCAGTAGTGTCGTCTAGATAGCTCAGCAACGTTGTGAGACATTTGCATGTGTTGACATCCGAGGGGCGTATACTATGACTATGACAATTTGAGTTGCATCTCTTGTGGTGGACTACTCTTTCTTCGTCGCTTACTCGAAGCAGTGACAACTGAATACGTTCGGTCTGAGTATCAGCGTCTCTTCTAATGTTATTGCACTGGGCTTTAATACCACTCTGTGATTTCTGTCAGGACAACGACAAGCCGAACGAGGTGGAGTGATGGCTATGATGGTGACTAATTCGTTCTTCGGCGAGCCGCTGTGAATCCTGCCCAAGGCATTACCATTCATAAGCCGCAGGAGATGTATGTCAGCGTTGCGTTACTCCTCAATGGATGAGACGATTCGGTAGAACAGTGTAGCTTTTGTTCAATGGCCCGCAGTGGCTGCGACGACAGATTTCGAGTGGGATTCAACGTGTTGGCCTGATTGCAATTGGTCGAGATGGCTGGAGATGATTGTGGAGACAGGAGTTTTTCCGAGGTATTCGATTTTAGAAAGAATCGCCTCCCTTTGAGATGCCGAGTCTTTCATCGTATGCAGTGGATATACCGACTACGTGAGTGATGCAGCTGTGGGAACGGGTGAGCGTGATGAGACTGTAGAATGACCGTGAGG